CACTCAGAACGGCCGCCCGGGGGGGGGGATTCTCTCCCCCCTCCTACCTCTTAATCCCTTGCAGCCCCCTTTCTCCCTTAGCCAGATGAAATCCCTCTCGCTCCCTCGTTATTGCCGGCCCTCCTTCGTGTTGAGGAGGAGCTCCCCGCGCACCACTTCCTGGGGAGCTTCCCGTCTTCCCCGGGTTCCTTTGTGTCCCGTTTCTGCAGGCTGGAAGCCCCTTCAGCTCCTCTCCGCCATCCTTTCCCTCGTCCCCCATCTCTTGAAGCCGCACTTGCGCCGTTCCCCAGCCAGACTGCGCGAGCCCCCCCTCTTCCCCCATCCTTTAGTCTCTGCTCCCTCTTATTTTCTCCAGAATCAAAACTTTTTTGTTGTTCACTTTCCTTCTCCCTGAAAGGCCACTGTTCTAGATAACGTCCCGTCCCGTCCCATCCCTCCCGGCGAATGAGAAACTGTTTTGCAATATTTCCCATTCTTCTCTTGTTGTTAACAATCTTTCCACATGTGTTTGTCCTATCAATAAAATCACTTGATGGAGGGTCTGGTTACCCCATATTCTGTGCCATCGCACCATTTGTGCATGCTTCTGTATTTCTCCTGCCCTCCCCCCCAATGTAGTGATGGGGGGTGGCTTTATTGTTTCCTTTGGTTATGGAGATCTCCATTACCTCATTTTCTTGTATCAAGAATTAGCACTGGAGCTAGCATACAGTTTTTCACTGTCTGTCCATCCTACTCGGCTGAATTTGTTTGTTGTTCCTTAATGCTCTTTTTCAGGGTGGGCGCAAGACTGCCAGAGTTCTTGAACAGTGTCCTTCCTGGTGTCTTGTTCTGTTAGGAAAGCAGGCGATGGAGTTTTAGAATGAACAATGTGCTTCTCGTGTTTGTAGAACTCTTGGTCAGCTGGGTGAAAAGTTTAAAGCTTCCCAGAGGCTCCTGAACAAAAATGCAACAGGTTGTGTTTGAAGGAAATGAGCGGTAGAGACTTGGGTATCCTTGGCAAGCTAGCACCTTCGTTTTTAAACTTTCTGAGCCCTTAGTGCACATTGTTAAGTGGAGTTTGGAAAATTGCTTTCAATGAAAATACGGATTTTGAAAAGGAAATTTGCAGATAGTGTGATAAGAAGCTGAAAGGTAAACTAAACATGTAAGGCAGGAATAGCTGCAAGGGATCTTGCGGCTATTATTCCCTTACATGTTTTCTCACTTGAGGGAATTGCCTGTATATCTTTGATCAGAGATACAGAGCCGATCCCACTGAGTGCATATGAGGAAGGAAGAAATAGTCTGGGAGGAATAGTGTGAGATTGTGCTAAGTGCATTGGTTTAACACATGAGATAGTGCTTCGTTATGATTTTCTAATTTGTGGTTATAGTGTGTGCTAGTCCCCTTTTCCCAGAAAGAGCATTTATTGTAAAGTTGCTGTGTTCATTTTTAGAGTCCAGTGGCACCTTTATGACCAACAAAGGTTTATTCAAGGTATGAGCTTTTGTGTGCAAGGCACAATTTTTCAAATAGGAGAAGGAAAAAGTATTTGAAAAAGTGCGCCTTGCACACAAAAGCTTATACCTTGAATAAACCTTTGTTGGTCTTAAAGTTGCCGCTAGCCTCTAAATTCGTTCTGCTGCTTCAGACCAACATGGTTGACCACCTGGATCTATCTTGCTGAATTCTTGTTGCCTAAGTAATAAAAGTTCTCCTTTTCATTACGAAAACATAAAGAACTCACCCTGGCTTTTCATACTTTCACGCTGAATTCTTGTTGCCTAAGTAATAAAAGAAATCACCCTGGCTTTTCATACTTTCATCCTTCTCTCTAGAGTCCCTCGGCCAGCGTGACCCAGATCCTTGCACTCCCCAGTACCTTGTGCAACTGAACAACCTGTGAACGTGACGTGCCTGCGAGAAGGAGCTTGTCAGCAGCTGGCAAGATGGGCATGAGGATTAAACTGCACAGCACTGATCACCCCAACAACCTGCTCAAGGAACTTAACAAATGCAGGCTATCAGAAACGATGTGTGATGTCACCATTGTGGTGGGCAGCCGTTCCTTTCCTGCTCACAAAGCGGTGCTGGCATGCGCAGCCGGCTATTTCCAGAACCTCTTCCTCAGTTCAGGGCTGGATGCTGCCCGCACCTATGTGGTGGACTTCATCACTCCAGCCAACTTTGAAAAGATTCTAAGCTTTGTCTATACCTCAGAGCTGTTCACAGACCTGATCAATGTGGGTGTCATTTACGAGGTTGCTGAAAAATTGGGCATGGAGGATTTGCTCAAGGCCTGCCATGCTACCTTCCCAGACTTGGAAAATTCAGCTGTCACCAAACAGCCCTCCATCTCAGGTGAAAGTCGGCCGAGTGGTGCTTTGGCTGAGCCAAACCATGAAAACCGGAACACTGGGGAGCACCTTGGACCAGAGCGGAATTCTAACATGCATGGCGAAGCAGCGGGCGGCTACAAAGACGATCCTGTGAATGGAGCCAGTCATAATTTAATGCATCCGCAGACTCCCAAAACAGAAGAACAGGAATCACCAGCACAGTTCACTGGTGCCATAAGCATGGTGACTCAGTCTGGTCTCAGCAGTGTCAGCATGGCGGTACAAAACACTGTGAGCTCTTGCCAGCCCTATAAGTTCCAGAGCAATGGGGATTACAGCAAAGGCAGTTTTTTTGCCTCTGATGCCTCGCTGGATATATCCACAGGCAGTAACTCCTGCCCTAGCAATAGTGACCACTCCAAGGACCAGGGCTTTGGGCACATGGATGAGCTGCAGCTGGAAGACCTGGGGGAAGACGAGCTACCTTTTGACGATCCTACTGAGGAGCTAGGGGCTGCAGAAGAAGTTATCGAGCTGAGTGATGACAGTGAGGAGGAGCTCTCTTTTGAAAACGACACCCGGGACAGTAAGGCCATGCCCTGCCAGGTGTGCAAGAAGGTTTTAGAGCCGAACATACAGCTGATCCGCCAGCATGCTAGGGACCACGTAGACCTCCTGACTGGCAACTGTAAAGTCTGTGAGACCCATTTCCAGGACAGGAACTCGCGAGTCACTCACGTCCTGTCACACATCGGGATCTTCCTTTTTTCTTGTGACATGTGTGAGACTAAGTTTTTCACTCAGTGGCAGCTTAACCTCCACCGCCGAGAGGGGGTGTTTGAGAACAACATCATTGTCCATCCCAGTGACCCATTGATAGGGAAGGTCAACTTGTTTAGTGGGGACTTGGCTTGTGCTGCCTGTGGCAAGGCGTTGGCCAAAGATTTTCACGTGGTCCGGGGCCACATCCTGGACCACATGAACCTGAAAGGCCAAGTGTGTGACTTGTGTGACCAGCGGCATCTAAATCTCTGCAGCCTGATGTGGCACATGCTTTCCCACCTGGGCATCTCCGTTTTTTCTTGCTCTATTTGTGCAAACAGTTTTGTGGACAGGCACCTCCTGGAGAAGCACATGGCGGTACACCAAAGCATGGAGGAAGCCCTGTTCCGGTGTCACTACTGTGGCCAGGCTTTTAAGCTGGAAGCTGCTTACCGCTACCATGTAAGCCAGCACAAGTGCGGCAACAGCTTGGACCTCGTTCGGCCCAGTTTTGGGGACCGCCTCCACCAGCAAGCTCTGCAGAAGAGGAAGTTGCCAGAGGAGTTCCTAAGTGAGGACGTGGCTCTCCAGAGCCAGCCTGGAAACAGTAAATACAGCTGCAAGGTATGTGGGAAAAGGTTCGCCCACACGAGTGAATTCAACTATCACCGTCGGATCCATACAGGGGAGAAGCCCTATCAGTGCAAAGTGTGCCACAAGTTCTTCCGGGGGCGTTCCACCATCAAGTGCCACCTGAAGACACACTCTGGGGCCCTCATGTACCGGTGCACGGTCTGTGGCCACTACAGTTCTACCCTTAACCTTATGAGCAAACACATAGGTGTGCACAAAGGCAGCCTCCCCCCGGACTTCACCATCGAACAAACTTTCATGTATATCATCCATTCCAAAGATACGGAGAAAAACACAGACAGCTGATGCAGCAGAATTGGGGGGGGGGAGCTGTGGTGATGGTGTAGCTCGCTTCAGTTCATTACTTTTAATGGTCAGGCATCGTTAGCATCGTACTTTATTTCCCTTTGCCTTGTTGGGGGGTGTGTGTCTTAAATCGCTGTCCTGTGAAAACAACAGCACGCTAGATGTGTTCTCAAGAAACCTGTCGTGTTTACCTCCTGCCGACTCCAATGCTTGTCGTCTGTAATCTAGGAAACAAAACTATTTTTTTCCATTGGTTGTTTCCCCCCCTCATGCCCTCTAATTTGAGATCACGAAAAGATTTATGCTGCTAAAATATATTGATGCTACACATCAATAGACAGGGATAGCTGGGGAGAAAGTGGGATGAAAAGGGAGGTGCGTCTTTGCTGCTGGTGGGAAGATATAACGCATTACAAAAACTTACCATGTAACCCTAAGCAAGTTAACTCAGAAGTCAATCCCACTTTGTTTAATGGCATTTACGCCTAATCTAGTAGGTGTGTTGAGGATCCTTAGGCTGAAACGCTAAGAATGTTTACCTGGGACTAAGCACTGTTGAATAAAATGGGACTTCAAAGTAAACGTGCCTAGGATAGCACCGTTTTAGCCTTAGCTTCTTGCTAGAGAAATTTGTATTTCCCTTGCACTATTGTTGCCTTCTTTTTTTAAACCAGTGCCTACTTATACGCCTTTAATGGCTATGTGGTCTGCAGACATGAGCAAATGAAAGGCTTCATTTGCTGATTTCTGTTGACTGAGTTGCCCTTAAAGGCACAATAGCAGGCTTGGGCTTTATTAGGGTTTTTTTGTTTGTTTGGCAATGCAGTCTGATATCCAGCCTCAGATTGCCCTTTGCCCGTTTCCATGGAATAAGTGCATGGTTTTGTCCCACTTTAGGGCAAGGGAAACAAAACAAGAAAGGGGACTCAAAAGTGTGTGTGTGTGTGTGTAGGGGGGAAGAACGTGGAAGAGGAATGTTTGGCCAAACATGGGTAGGAGGAGAATAGTACCCTAAGAGGCTTCTTAGCTTTGGCACTGGGCATGGTTAGCTGTTTTTGTCAATGGTGTTTACTCTCCAGTCGCCTTTTTCCAGAAAGAGATGTTTTTAGGGCATTAAACCTTTGAGTACCTCACCTCCTTCAGTGGTACCTTAGGCCAGTATGGGCTTCTACCAGTGAGGCAAGTGTCTAAACCTTCGTATTTTTGAGAGTGTTCGATGTGGCTGTGTGGACAGTGCCAGCAGCCTTCCTTGAAGGGGCCTTCAGAAGAAATGGTTGCCTTAAGGACATGTCTCTAGAAGGAGGTATGGAAAGTTTACAGCCTTTCTAGGTTTTATTTTCCCCCTCATGCAGTAAATACACACATTGTACTCATTTGTTGTTCGCAGGGGAATTCAGTTGTCTTTTCTCAAAATAGCACTTTTGTGAGGGGTGCTGCATTCCCAGTGTCCATGTGTAGAATTTTATTCCAGGGAAGATATGATCAATCCCTCCAGCTAGTACATTCCATCGCAGTCTTGTCACATAGAATGTGTCAGAAGTGCACAATGGGCTGAAGGCAGATATAACTTCTGTAGAGCAGTGGGATTGGGTTGGATGTACCCTCACAGATTCAGCAGAAAGCTCTGAAAGAGATTGTTTTTTAAGATCCTAGCTAGACAAGGTATCAAGAGATCTGTGATCAGATCTCTCAGTATCTTTAATTTCATTTAAAAGCAGAAGGGGGAGCCATTTGGATCTGAACTAGATGCCCCTCCCAGTGGGTATTGGTCCCTGTAGGAGGAAGAAATAGCAGGCAGCTATTTCCGAACCAGGGCTAATATCCATACCAGATAATGGTGGAAGACGAGCTATGGCCCCGGTCACACGGGCCGGATATCGCGGGGGGGGGGGGGGTTAATTGCCCCGGAGGAAACTAATGCACGGCCACCCGAGCACACGTCCCGGTCGAGGTCCCGTGGTTAGGGGGGAGATGCCGACCAGACAGGTATCCTGCAGCCCGGCACAGAAGCCGCGCGGCGCGATTGCACTAGCAATAGCTCTTTGTGCGCATGCGCTGTTGGGTGCTGTTGCGCAACCTGCGGAGACGGGCGCCGGATGCCACGTAAGTCCACCCGAAACGCGATCAGACGCCTGCCCTTGGCCCGCGGTTTCTGGAAACTAGTACTTCGTAAATACTAGTTTTTTAATCCGCACCTTCGGCAGGGAGCCATGGGTTCGCCACGGGAACACTGCGCTTCCCAGATGTTGGGGTGTGATCGCGCCCGGAAAATCCGCGGGACTCCCGTGCCTCTCCTACAGCAACTTTGCCGTGTGACCGGGGCCTATATTGAGCTTTCACCTTGGGGTCCCTACTTGGGTGGAAAGCAGCATAAAAATGTTCTAAAAATAATCACTAGGAGACAGAATAGCAGCCGAAACAACCCTGGCGACCAAAGGGGTGAGAGATGTTGCAGCCAGATTGCCCTCACATCCATGAGATAGCATAGTAGGAAAGGGGTAACCCTGGACCCCGTGGCCTCAGTCCAAATTGAGTGTCACTGTGCCTTCTTTTAAATGAAATCAAAGATAAGGCCCTGACTTTTCAGCAAGGAATGGCTGTGAATGGCATAAATTGGCTAGTGTGTGGGTTGCCACCAAGACACGCCCTCCCAATCCCCAAAGCAGTTTTCCAACTTTTAACACACACACACACACACACACACACACACACACACACACACACACACACCCCTTTAAAAGCAAATGATAAACGTATAAATGATTAATCATACACATGCTGTTTAAATGGTTGGATGGGGTGGCACGTAGGTTGCTAAAGGTGTAGAGAGAAAGGAAAGACGATGGTTAATCCCGTGTTAGATTTGATCTTGGAGAAGCAGGGTGGCGGCTGGGTTCGCACAGCCAGATGGAGAACCGCCTGGGACAGCTTTATAGGTTTCAGGTGGGTAGCCGTGTTGGTTTACTGTAGAAGGGCAAGGTTCAAGTCCAGTAGCGTGTTGAAGACCAACAAAATGTTTGAGCATAAGCTTTCAAGAGCCAAAGCTCCCTCTGTCAGATACCAGATACTTGTCAGGTTATCTGTCCCCTGTGGCAATGATGGCTTGAAAGAGGGCCCTGCTGTGCCCTCCGGGCAAAGTGGGAGCTTTTCTGTCTTATTCGTGATGCAACACTGTTGTGGGGGTTTTTTTTAACAGGTGCTTGCTGGAGGGATGCCGTTGAGCAGGAGGAAGGCCACAGGGCATAAATCGGGGCTCAGATAGCACACAGCATGTGCCATGGTCCTTTTGCACTGCGGTGACGTGGTGCAAGCTAAGTTCTCCTAAAGTGCAGTTGTGTGTGATAAATCCAGCTGGGGAAAGGGTGGGAGGGATGAGAGAGGTGAATGTTGATCGACGTGGCCGCTGGCTTGTGATCTGTCCCTAGGCATAACACAAACTACCTCACAAAAGCCCTGGCGTCTTCAAAGCCACGTGTGTTTCCACAAAACATTACCCTTAAAGGGAAAAGAGTCGTCTACCGGATGCATTCTTACCCGACTCCTGTCTTAGGAAGGGGTAGACAGAAAAGCTGAACAGGCTCCCCCCCCCCTCCGAATTCCTGGCTTCTGATATCAGCTCTGATACCAGTTCCAGAAGGGCATTCTTAGGCAGGTAACGTTGCCTCTCTTCTTACAGTACCTACCTCTAAGGAGTGTTGTGAAGATAAACTGTTCTGACATTTGTCAAGGAGGAAAAGCACTTCTGTCCATCCTCTTGTTTTCATGTCCCAGGCTAATAAAATAGCTGCTGTCTTGCACGGCCCCAAGTTTGCCTCTTTGTTCTGTTCCTTTTGGTGGCGAGAGGATGGAAAGCAGCAAATGAGATACAATGAGGGGCTGAACTCAAGCGTGTTGTAGACAAGACTACCCCTGCGGTGTAACTCGTGCTGGCAGAGTTCTATATTTGTATCTTAAGTGGGTGTCTTGGGGCTTAACCGTCAGTAGTTATACTCCTACATTTAATGTCTGGACCAGTCTAAGGCCGTGGGTATCTGTATCTGAATCTAGGCCTGGAGGCACGAACAGGGCATTTTAAGAGTCCGAAGGGCAGCGTACTTTGTTGATGGAAGTTCGGGCTTCTAACCTGGCAAATCCACAGTTGTGAGACCTGATCTTACCCAACTCTGTACCCTGCTTTGCCAGAAGAGGGCTTTGAGGGCTGGATATGACACAGTCCAGGATAGCTGGGTTTCTGCCTCAGCCTTTGAGGCTTCTGGTTCAGACCCCAATTTCTTTTAATAGGATGAAACTTTCATCGGGAAGGATGGAAGACGAGCTATGTGTTGGATTTCTGTAGGAACTGTTTCCTTATCCTCAGAGAAGATTTCTAGAGCTGTTTTCCTTCTAGTTCTCCGGTGCCATATCAAACCTGACCTGCTGATATCCAAGGCAAACATGGCCAGCGTATTAAACTTTTAAAAGCATCCTGCAGCTACACAGTTATGAAATATTGGCCAGGGTGGTTAGAGAGTTGGGAGCCAGAAAATCAGGATCCCATTTCTGTTTCTGCTGCTGAGTGTAGCCTTGGCCAAATAACATCACCTGTCTGCCTCAAACACACCCGCCCGCTCACCCCAAATCTCTTAAGAATGGGGCAGGGCTTGTGTGTGATATTTAAAAAAAATACCTACCTCACGGGAAAGTTGTGAGGTGTACTAAATGTAAAATGCTTTGGAACCCTTAGATTTGTAGAAAGACAAAATATTGTATTTGAATAGCTTCACTCTGTTTGACATGCTACCATTTGTGAAGAACCTCTCCCTACCATTACCATCACAGCAGGGGAGGGTTTCAAGGCATGGAACAGGTATTCCCCTCTACAACAGAACATTTTGAAGATTTTTTAAAAAAAGTTTTGGAGACCGATGCTTTAGCATTATTTTTCGCAAATCCAAAACCGTGCCCTCCCCATTCTTTTCCTCCAAAGATGCAGATGTCTTCAAATGAAACAGAAGTAACAC